AGCCTCGTTCGGAGTAGATGCGTACACTTTTTTTGAACGTTTGCATCGGGAGCCTCACAGTACAGAGCTCATGCGTGTGAGGATCGGTGGCAGGCAAAAGCTGGGTGCGGTTGTTCAGAGCCGACCGTGCGATTGGAGTAGCCGCCCGTGTGAGACCCGAGGTCCGTCCCAAATAAACTTGGAACCTCAATTTTGCTGCCTTCTGTAGAGAAGTAGTCTATAACGGCTTCATTTTCGGGTCCCAGGACAGCTTCGGGAGGGCACTTCTTCCCCGCAGTTTAGGAGTTTAGGGTTTCCCAGCTCTGTCTCTTTGTCCATATACCTTCAGCTTAATCTTAATCGTTTGGCACATAGACCTAGGGTCCTTCCAACATGCCCACAGAGCCCAGAGGGATCGAGAGATAAGACGAACACCCCCCATGTAGTTAGTAGGCTTTAAGGAGCCTTGCTGAGTTGGCCCCAAACCCCTCAACCCTAAACCCTGACCCTTGGACCCGAGGAAATGGAGGAGGCGACGCCGTGCTCTGATCGAACACTCGCCACTTTGCAGAGACGCAAGGGCCACTGGGGTTCGGTTGCGGTTTCAAGGTTTGGCGAATTAGAAACCTAACGGGAACTGTCCAAATGGTTCATGGACGGTTCTGCACCTACAACTTACTTCACGACGCCTTCAGATTCTCAGGGACTCTAGGCACAAAACGTCGTCCGGCCATGCTGGCAACAACTTAAACCCCAACCAAGGTGCGGCATAAGCAATTGCCAAAAGCTCCTGGTAGATACCTCATGTTGTATCCTTTACTTTGTCTGTGCAACATACACATGTAGAGCACATCCATCCATCCATCCATCCATCCATCCATCCATCCATCCATCCATCCATCCATCCATTCGTCCATTCGTCCATTCAGCCATGCATCCCATGCCTGCATACATGCACGCTCTTACAATGGCAAGGCTTGTGAACATTCAACCTAGCATGTCGTAATCGAGGGGCCTTCATGATTACCTATACTATTTTGCGAGTTCCTTGTTATGAGTACAGTATAATGGACTCCAAAACCCTATTCTAATTTAAGGCCCCTATTTAAGCCTTTTCCCAAAGCCAAACTTTGCAAAACCAAGACTGGCCCGAGCCATGGAGACACTCTCGTACTGGAAGCCCGCAAACTCTAACGCTTAAGACCTAAGCTCTCAAACTCCTAACTAGACCCTAAACTCTCAGGATCTAATCCTTATAAACCCTAAACCTAAACCCTAAACCCCTAAACCCCTGTACCCCTCAACCCTGAACCCTAAACCCTAAGCCCTAAAGCCCTGCGAGCAGATGCAGCTCATGCTACAAGCCCCAGACCCCCGGGAGGATCTATAAAGGAAGTAGATCCCAAATAACTTGGGACCCAAACTACTAAAGGGTACTTTGTAGGAACCAGCCTTATAAGGGATCTATTTTTTGGGATCCTCCCGGCGGTCTGGGCGCGTGGTGGCTCTAGCTATAGCTACTTCTGTGCTTTTTGGGTCTTTGGTTTAGTTACGGTGTAGGGAACCGTTAGCGCTGCTTGTCACTGCCCGCGAATCTCATCACACAAGCCTCAAGTCAAGCCTTAAACCCATGAGCCTTAACTTAATCATGCGCCTGCATAAACGCGGTTGAAGGCCCTTTAGACCCTGTGCCGCCCTTTGTGCCCGTATTCTAATGATAGTATAATGTACCTCAAAACCCCATTGAAATTATTAAGGCCTCTGATCCCTAAACCCTTATAGTAGCCCTTATAGAACCCTTTAAGGAACCCTTTAAAGGAGCCCCAAAACCCTGTTCTGATTATTAAGGCTTCTATAGTAATAGCCCCCAGGCCGTATATCCCAACTAAACCCCAAACCCTAAATCCTAAACCCTAAAACCCTAAACCCTACACCCTAAACCCTCAACCCTAAACCCTAAACCCTACATAAACCCTAAGCCCTAAATCCCAAGCCGTGTGCCTTCACGCAGACCCGGCTGAGGACGCATCCATGGCAGTAACTGTCGGGACCGGCTGCATGCATTCAGGGCGGTTTGGGGTTTAGGGTTTAGGGGTTTACGGGTTTAGGGGTTTAGGGTTTAGGGGTTTAGGGTTTAGGGTTTAGGGGTTTAGGGGTTTAGGGTTTAGGGGTTTATGGGTTTCGGGTT